CTCCCTGTGGATGAACACATGGCCGAGTCTGTCACATTATTCTGGTCTTTCCTCAGATATCTCCCACAAGGTCTTTCCTGGCCACCGAGCTAGACTCGCACCTCCTACAGCACTCTCTGTTCCCTTGAGCCTCTTCGGGTTTCTTTTTAGCACACTGAGCACATTACATGTTTTACTTATTTGTTGTGTTTATTTTCTGTATCTTCTCCCTACAGTGTAAGCTGCTTGAGGACGGAGATTCTGTTTTATTCCTTATAATATAAGCAGGACCTAGAATAGCAACTACTCAGAGCAAGCACTAAGTAAATATTGATTGATGATTGATTGATTGATTGATTAATGAATCTGTGTACCCATCTACCATCCAGTGGTCTATGCTATATTTATCAACAACCCTCCTTCCTATTATCCACCAGTCTTACCCATTCAAAACATATCATAAATTCATTTATCTACCTGTTCCACCCATTCAGCTCATGGATCCGTCCCAGCCATCCAGTGTCCATTATTATATCCAGCCATGGACCTGCTCCAGCCATCCAGCGGGCATTCAGAAACCCATCTGTGCACCTGCCCCTCCAGTCTGGCATCTGTTCCTGTATTCCTGTAACCACCTGTCCATTCATTGAAATCACTTGAAGTTCCAGTCTTTTTTTTTTTTTTTTGAGATGGAGTCTCACTCTGTCACCCAGGCTGGAGTGCAGTGACATGATCTCAGCTCACTGCAACCTCCGCCCTCCAAGTTCAAGCAATTTTCCTGCCTCAGCCTCCTGAGCAGCTGGGATTACAGGCGCCTGCCACCGTGTCCGGCAAATTTTTTTGTATTTTTAGTAGAGACGGGTTTCACCATCTTGGCCAGGCTGGTCTTGAACGCCTGACCTCATGATCCACCGGCCTTGGCCTCCCAAAGTGCTGGGATTACAGGCGTGAGCCACCGAGCCCGGCCTCCATTCTTTTTATCACACTGCAAACCTGATCCCAGCAAACGCTGTCAGCTCCACCTTCAACACATGTCCAGAAGTTGGCCGGGTCTCTCCACCTTCACTGCCACTGCCCTGGTCCAAGCCACCATGAACACATGAGCACACATTCTCGTGTATTCATCTATTTGCCCGTCCTGCCCACTGAACATGCTCTCACATATCCACACATCACCTCCCATCCAGCAGCCATTCACTTACCCACTTACCCAGCTGCCCCACCCACGTGGCATACATTTGCGTATCCATCTGTCCATTTGGATATACATTCATATGTTCGTCTATAGTCCTGTTCCCCCATCCAGCATGTGCAGACGGTCCCCACCTTATGATGGTTTGACATATGATTTTTCAACTTCACAATGGCAGGAAACCCATAGGCACTCAGTACGCTCCTCAGTTTACTG